TTTATTTACTCTTTCTCTAAATCTTGTCGCAACCTCCCAGGCGCCTCCGTAGTCCCCTCCTCCCTCCTCCGAACGCTCCCGCGCACCGCGCAGCGCGCGTGACTACCTCCCAACGCCCTCGACTGCACAGCAGCGGCAGGCCGCAGCGACAGCCGCCACCACGCGCGACTCCGCTGACGTGCACCACACCCACGAACACCGCCATCGATGGCGCTGCAGAGACAAGAGCAGCCGCTTCGTGTGGCACGCACTGTGACACTCGCCTGATGTCGCTCCCGCCAACGAAGACAGTTCGCCCTACTCCCTGGCCACTCTTCGCTATCTGTTATTTTCTCATGTTTCGCACTTTAACATTCCCTGCACAAAGACCAACCACGCACTTTACTTCTGTCTACTAAACAAACTGTCCTGTCTGTACCTCCAACTCCGCAAAATGACATCCCTCCCAGCATTTAGTCTATTTATGATGATTTCCAGCCTCAAAAATGATGTCATCGGCAGCTCTCCGCCTCTATGAAAGTACATAAAGACGCTTTTCAATTAACAAAACGTATCGGTATCCCGGCGATACTGGCCCTGAAATACTTGTTCTCGGGACTCGAATCCAGATTTTCTGTGGTATCGCCCACCCTAGTGCTAACTGCTACAGCCTAATGGGGCTGATGTCCTTTTCTGGTTGAACGTCAGTGACGGCAGCGCTGTATATGACCTCTGATTGGCTTCCGCGGAGAACGCGCTCCACGTGACATTTCGACGCCTCGAGTTGAAAAAATTGAACTCTCGCCCGTTTGACCGGCCCTCTTCAACCTCGCCTCAATCGCGTGAATTTCGCCCCGCCGGGCCGCGCCCCACACGCCTGTCATGCCGCGCCGTCGGAGCCGAATCTCGCCGTCTGATCGTGTCTCTGCATTGACTTTACATGCTAAACTCCGCGACGCGCCAAAAGTCGCACTCGCACCCACCGTCCGGTGTGAACGCAGAATTAGCAACAAGCTGCACTATCGCCCACATGATAACTACTGGTCTTACAAACTACATAACATTACAAATAGTCAAAAAATGTTATTTAACAATTTAATAAACCACTATGAATTCCATTTTAACTTGGTTGACCAAGGCAAAACAGCTGCACAGCGGCAAGCAGCATTAAAGGCAAAATACTTGTCTACATTGGTGGTTGCCAACCCAGTCTGCAACCGGCATTTCGTATTCACCAACACGACTTTTTAATATCTATTGATTCGTGTTCACCAACACGATTTTCCCCTTCTTTTTCCGTGGTTGCACCCAGCAACGATTTTAAAAGCAATGTATTTCTATTGTAGTCTCACCCGACAATTACGTGTTACATAGGAAGACCGAAGCTGTGGGCTTCCATAAAAAGCATAGTTCTTACTCAATATCAAAGCCACAATTACTTGTTTTTAATTTTAAATTCGTACACACTTTCGGACTTTTGTTGCGTCTGTGAGGAAATAACATGGCGGCTGAGAGCTTCAGGATAATGAAATCTGTATATACACTCGTCAACATCTTTTTTTTCTTCTATCTGTTATTCCTTTTCAAGATAACACCACTGTTACTTTACTCACCAATAACACACAATTATCCTTGTTTTTATTTATTTGCCTTTAATTCAAATAATCTCTGTTTTTTTTGGCGTCGTCAGGAACTGAATTTCAAAATAAAAATAACCGGAAACAGATGTACCGCATTTCGAGTTTGGATGGCGAAGACACTACACCTACCCTAAATATCCACGCTATCGTCTTGGACCCAGTCACCGTGATTAACTTCAAGCTCTGGGATGGATGTTGGAATGGCAGTGCGCCAAGGTTACGGCCGAGCATTCAAAATTCTGTTGAATGGAACGAAACCACGCCAGGACAATCCAAAACTGGAATCGAACGCCCCTCCAGGACTACACATGCTATGGGACGTCTCTACTGAACGTTTTCGTTTTTCCCACAATTAGAAGTTGCCAGTATTAAACACATTGGTGTTATCAAATGTAAAACATATAATTAATAAATGGGTGAAAATTGCTTGTGTCCATAATGCGCAGCATTAATATATACCCACATGACAGCTCATTGTTACTTTGTAATTCTACTCCACTACAATTCAGAGGTTAACCTGGTATTTTTACTCCACTACATTTATTTGAGTTTCTTTGCAGATTCTGATTAATGATGTGAAATATAAACAACCCTTAAAGCAGACACAAGGTGCACACAGCCATAATAACTTTTTATTATTAGTGTAGGACACTTATGTATGTACAACATCTGAAGATGTGTAGTTTTATTCATGCTTTCACATAATTTTACAGCATATTGCTCTACTATTTCAGACTCAGTATTTACATTCTTATATTCAAAGAAAATCAATAATATCTTTAAAAACTACAAGTCCTTTTTTATCAGCTGTGCACCGTTATGGTGTAAATATAACCTATCTACCAATTGGATCAAATGTAAAAGTCAGCCGAATTAGTTTTGATACTGCGAGGAGACGAATTGTGTGAAGAAAAATTGAAGATGTTGTTTAATTGTTGATATATATATGATCCACGTCAAGTCTTCAGTTTCGGCGGCATTTCTTCCAGTTTTTCCAAAGGTCTTCTCATCAGGGCTCTATAAATAAAGAACTACGGCAGATCTGTAATATTTAATGCAGCCGAACCGTGTATTACAATGCCGTTATGTGATGACTTTCAAAGAGAAAAGCAAGAACACACGGAATTAAGTATTATTTTATTCTTTTAAAATGTTTTCCGGATTTCATATCATATAAACACTTTACTGCTTAATAAGTTGGCTAAATGCTAATATCGTTATGCTAACCTGTTCACAATGGCAATGTTAACATGTGTAATGCTAAATAAGTAAGCTAAACGCTTACATCAGTTTGCTTACATGTTCACACATGCTGAGGATCATAAACTTAAAATAATCTACATGGTCATTGTGGGCAGTTTTTTAGTTTTAAACCAATGTATTTGACATATTTTGACCCGATGTTAATGCAGGATGAACATTATTAACATTCATTAAGGGGGGACATGGGTGTACCAACTTTTATGTAAAATGGTCCAAACTTTTTTTTTTGTGATAGATCTTAAGCTACTTGGTGGTAAAGAGAGAAGGAACCATGGGGTCTGGATCATGGAGCGTATTTATCCTTGTTGGTCTGTCGTTTTGTGGCAACAGCCAAGCCCTCACAAAGAGCCCCATCCTGTCCCGGATACGAAGGGCTCCAGAGGCCAATGGGGAAAGCAAGAAGTGCTCCTACACCTTCCTGGTTCCTGAGCAGAAGATCACAGGACCCATATGTGCCGCCCGCGGTTACTCTACCGACAAGGATCGAGTGACACGCCTGGATGTGGCTGGAGTGCGGGACCTCCTGTCGAAGCAGCGTAGGGAGACGGAAACTTTGAAGCTGGTGGTGGATGTGGACGGCAACTTAGTGAATGAAATGAAGCTGTTGAGGAAAGAGAGCAGGAACATGAACTCCAGAGTGACCCAGCTGTACATGCAGCTGCTTCACGAGATCATCAGGAAGAGGGACAACTCGCTGGAGCTGGCGCAGCTGGAGACGCGCATCCTCAATGCCACCTCAGAGTCACTGCGTCTGGCATCCCGGTACAAAGAGCTGGAGTCCAAATACGCAGCCCTGTCTGCTGTAGTGAACAACCAGTCAGTGCTGATTGGGGCACTTGAGGAGCAATGCATGCAGGTGTACAGCCGCAGGCATGACCAGACACCCTTGGGACCTCCACTTGTGCAGGTGGTGCCTGAGAACATTCCTGTTAGTGTGCCACGTTTCACCAATGAGATCCAGAGGGACAACAACCGAGGCTTTGCCCGAGAAAGGGGCTCTCGCTCTGGGCTGTCACCCACGGGCGGCACCCTGGAAGTTCAGAAACCTCCACCTAGAAACTTCAGTGCTGAAGGTAAGTGAGAGAAGAATCCACCAATCCATCCATTACATTTCAATAATGTATTCATTGTTTCAAACGTGAAAATGTAATGCAAGTCATGGTTAAATGTAAAGCAGTCTTGACTTTGGAGGCCAGCCGTGACAAAATATAAATTCCTAAGTTTGAAAACAGCTGCAGGCAGACCAGTGGTCTAATTTTCAAAGGTCAAAGATTTGCACATTCAGCTGGAACTCTGCTGCCGGCTCAACAGAAAGAACACAAACCAGGATGGAAATAAATATGTTGTAACGTCTCAACTGAGGCAGGGGACCTAAAGCAAAGCAAAGAAAGACCTAACCAGTGCGATTTTGCTCATCAACAGTAAATTCCTGACACATTTAGATTGCCCTCGCCCAAGAATAATAAAGTGTGTAGGATTTCAGTACAGCTGTGTACGAAATTGATCCCTTACAAGACTGTTCCATTGCATGTGAGATGTAGACAAAACCCAGGCTGATGTATATACCCCTCAAAAACCACAGAGAGGCACTTCTGCTATACTTTATGGGATGAATGGACTAAACCTTTACATTATTATTTTACCATTAGCCTGGAGAGGGTTGCTCCCCCTTCAAATAAACTCATTGCTTCATAGGCTATTAAGTAAACATGCTATGCTAATGAGAATGTTGAATTACTTTGGAAAAATGCAGTTAATCGCAGTGGTTTTACAAAATATGTATTAAGTTGTTCCTGTTTTGTTTTCATACCACAAATGGGGCAAGTCATATCTTATAAAGTCATTTTATTTGCCTGACTCCCTACCGCTGTTCCTTAAGGACATGGTAAACATCTTTGCTGGATAAATGTGTTTTTTATTACTCTTTGTTTGTGTGATTTTATTCTTGTTTACCAGTTTCCCTAAAAGTTCAACCCTCTGTCAGACTTCAATTTTAAATGTCTCTTAATCATGTTCTGAAACAACAGAGTCAAATTGTCATGCAAACCCAAACTGAGTTTCAACCTGAATCAGACTCTTTGATACATGTTTTAATATTTATATTGCGTTTAACCCATAGGTTTAACCCTAAATCCTTAGACTCACTTCTCCTGCCTAAACATAACCAACGAAACCTACAAAGGCAACAAATTCTAGCCAATCAAAAGCAGAGTGAGGCGGGTAATGCTTTTGCCCTAAGAAGAAAAATAAAGTCTGTAAGGTCAAATGACGTCTTTTGCATAATAATTAGCCATCTGTTCCTGTGTGTTTTTTTTTAGAACTGGCCACTTATTTGAAGGAAAACAGACTGTCAGAACAATGGGCCTTTTCCAATTGCATACTTTTTCTGACTTCTGAGGTCTCAAAATAATAGGCTGTCAGAAAAAAAATGGGCATTGAAAAATTTCCTTTGAAACTTTCACAACAAACTGAGTTTTGCCACATGAACGTAGCTACATGTAATCAAAATGGGGAAAAAATGAAACCAGATATATTCCTGCTAAAAGCTAAATAGCCACGGCTAGATGCCCACCTCTCTCTTTTGTCCTTTCCTTCAGGTCCTTTCAGAGACTGTCTCGACGCGCAGGAAGCTGGCCACAGCACCAGCGGCATGTACCTGATCAGACCAGACGAAGCAGAAAGGCCAGTGCAGGCTTGGTGTGAACAGGACATCGACAACGGCGGCTGGACCGTTATCCAGAGCAGGCGAGACGGATCCATTAACTTCTTCAGGAACTGGGATAGCTACAAGGTGTTGACATATGACATTTCCCCCACCCTGTCTGTCTTATTTTTCTGTCTTCTCTCCTGAGCCAACTTCAATATTTGTGTCATCTAAAGACAACATGGGGGCTGTTACAGTATACAGGACTGTCTCAGAAAATTAGAATATTGTGATAAAGTTCTTTATTTTCTGTAATGCAATTAAAAAAACAAAAATGTCATACATTCTGGATTCATTACAAATCAACTGAAATATTGCAAGCCTTTTATTATTTTAATATTGCTGATTATGGCATACAGCTTAAGAAAACTCAAATATCCTATCTCTAAATATTAGAATATCATGAAAAAGTATACTAGTAGGGTGTTCAACGAATCACTTGAATCGTCTAATTAACTCGAAACACCTGCAAGGGTTTCCTGAGCCTTGAAAAACACTCAGCTTGGTTCAGTAAACTAAATCAACAAGTTATGGGAAGACGTGCTGATCTGGACTGCTGTCAGAGGACCCGTCATTGACACCCTCCATCAGGGAGGGGTAGGACACAAAAAGAAAAGTTTCTCAAAGAGCAAGCTGTTCACAGAGGCAGTTTCAAAGCACATCCACCAAAAAGTCGTGTTGGAAGGGGAAATGTGGCAGAAACGCTGCAGCCAACGCAAGAGAGATGACGCGAGCCTTAACAGGCATTGTGAAAGAAAGAGTCGCTTCCAGGAATTTGGGGGAGCTTCAAAGACAGTGCGACTGAAGCGAGTCCAGGTATCGAAAGTCACGTGTTCACAGACGTGTCGGGAAATGGCTTACAATAGCCGTATTCCCCATGGTCAGCCACTTCTGAACTCAAGATCAACTGGAAGAGGGCGTCTGACTTGGGCTAGGAAAAAGAAGCACTGGACTGTTGCACAGGGTCCAAAGTCCTCTTCAGACGAAAGCAAGTTTTGTATTCATCTTGGAAGTCAAAGGCGCCAGAAGTCTGGAGAAAAGCTGGGAGAGGAGCAAGAATCCAAGTTGCTTGAAATCCAGTGGAAGTTCCCACAGTCAGCGATGGTTTGGGGAGCCATGTCAGCTGCTGTGTGGGTCCACTGTGTTTCATTCAAGCCCCCGAGTAAATGCAGCTGTGTACCAAGAGATTTAGAGCACTACATGCTTCCCGTCTGCTGAAAAGCTCTATGGAGATGAGGAATTCATTTTCCAGCATGATCTGGCATCTGCCCACAGTGCCAAAACCACCAGTAACTGGTGTACTGACCATGGCATTACTGTCCTCGATTGGCCTGCAAATTCCCCTGACCTGAACCCCATAGAGAATATGTGGGGTATTGTGAAGAAGAAGCTGAAAGACACCAGACCCAACAATGCTAATGAGCTAAAGGCCGCTATTGAAGCATCCTGGGCATCCATAACACCTCAGCAATGCCACAGGCTGATTGCCTCCATGCCACGCCGCATTGATGCAGTAATCCGTGCAAAAGGATTCCCAACCAAGTACTGAGTGCATTAATGGACATTTTCAAATGTTTGATTGTGTTTTGCTGTTATAAATCTTTTTTTTTTACTTGGTCTGAGGAACTATTCTAATTTTTTGAGATAGGATTTTTGAGTTTTCTTAAGCTGTATGCCATAATCAGCAATATTAAAATAATAAAAGGCTTGCAATATTTCAGTTGATTTGTAATGAATCCAGAATGTATGACATTTTTGTTTTTTTAATTGCATTACAGAAAATAAAGAACTTTATCACAATATTCTAATTTTCTGAGACAGTCCTGTATGACCCATGTAGCGGAACCCTCTGGGGTCTGGACTATTTCCTAGGCCAGATTCCTTGTGTTTTCACTAACTGTAAAATTTAACGCCCCGTCAGCAGCAGTATTCGTGGAGGGTTATCTGGTTTGAGATTCCCATTATGAAACATTAGATGGCCCACTAGGAAGGTATGTTCCGTAGCTCAAACTGCAGAGGTTTCTTTCCAAACCGCGACTACTATGGAGCCTTCCTGGATGAATAGCTGGTTGGCTTGCGCAACATATAGACCCTCTCATCAAAGCTATGTGAGAATAAGATGGAGTATATCGTGGCTGGCAGCCTCAGCGATCCAGTGTTCCGTTCAACCTCGCCAGGCTCGTGCATGTGTAACTGGAAGCTAAATTGCTCTCTTCAACATTTATTTGCCTCTGTGCTCTTTCAAAAAGCCACCACAAGTACACACACACAGCACCAGAGAGGAGGCCCTGGACTGAAACCCTACATCGTTCATCATCTGCTGGCTCACCAAGCTAATCCCCAATCCCAAACCTCAACCTCCTCTACCAAGTGAAGTGTTCTTCAGGCACATGGCCAGATGTACATTGCTCGTTGTTATTCAACATACGCGCCAAGGCCATTTTCACCAGCAGCCGTGATCTAAGAGCTCTGTTGGGTTTAAGTGATGAACCAGCATTTCGAGGATGGATGCTTATTTTGCTGCCTACACTCTACAACATGTCTTTTTAATCATTTCAAGGACAGGGTGGTAATCTTTTGCAACAGCTTTTTCCTTTTGAAGCTTTGTAGTTTGTCTTAACTACAGAACCACAACCCGAACGTCATCAAAAAGAAAACTCTTGTTTGTTCTGTTACAATCCCACAGCCTTATTCACAAGGGGGTTTTATCTTCCCAAACAATTCTCAACAACTCCTCAGGCTACCACATGAAAAACAATGCTCGTTATTTCCTGTGATCTTTCTCTAACCCTCCTTTTAATTTTCCTTTGATTCAGAGCGGCTTTGGCAACATAGACGGGGAATACTGGCTCGGCCTGGAGGGCATCTACAACCTGGGGAGGCAGGGGGACTACAAGCTGCTTGTGGAGCTGGAGGACTGGATGGACAAGAAGGTGTACGCTCAGTACAGCAGCTTCCATCTAGAGCCTGAGAGCGAGGGATACCGTCTGCGACTGGGCACCTACCAGGGCAACGCCGGGGACTCCATGAGCAGCGACAACGGCAAACAGTTCACTACTCTGGATCGAGACAAGGACGCCTACTCAGGTAGATGACCTTTAAAATGCATTATGATTATTTATTGAAATTGTGCCTAGTTTTCACATCTAATCTAGCAAACATTATATATTGGTCAAAAATAAAACCTTCAAAGTCTCTTAATAAATACCCATTACACATTCTTGAAATCCAGATTTCTCTAACAGGGTCATAATAGATTAAAGACCAATAAAATATGGCATCAGTCCCACGAATCCTGTAATGCTTTATGATGCAATTACCATAATATGCATTCCCAAATGAAAATTGAAAGTTATTATGACCGGGCAAATTGCACAAAATCACATCTTCCACTTCTTTGTCCATAATTTTGAGCATGTAAGCAGCTAAAGAGTAGCCTTCGCTAGCAAGCACTGAAAACCAGCAAACGTTACATGCTAACATCTACAAGTCAGAAGCACCAGAGATCTGGTCGCTCTATCTTGAAAAGGCAAAATAGAAACCAACGATTTTATATAAAAACTGTAAATATGTATATGTTTTATAAAAGAACACTGTCATTAACCTTCCTGTTTCCCTACTACAGGTAACTGTGCCCATTTCCATAAAGGAGGCTGGTGGTACAACGCTTGCGGTCAAGCTAATCTGAACGGTGTCTGGTACACCGGAGGCGTTTACCGCAGCAAATTCCAAGATGGGATTTTCTGGGCCGACTATGGTGGAGGCTTCTACTCTATGAAGGCTGTCCGTATGCTGATCAGGCCCATAGACTGAGGAGATATTTTAAGCAAGGCTGAACCAGTGGCAACTGTGGAGGCCAGGGAGAAACATTGTGACTGGATAAGTCATCAGCAACTGGTTCTTCGTTGATAAAAGAACTTCCCCAATGGAGGCAACCAATCATCAGTAGTGACTTGAACTGCCTTCTGTTACAGACATGGACTGTTCACTTTATATGGTAATAGATGCACAAAAAGAGGGATTTAGGGGGCATTCCTATTTATAGTAAGCCATACTGCTACTTTTATCAACAAATATGTTGGTGCAGGCAAATTAAGTATAATTTCAGAAGATGTACAGCCAGATCATGCAATCTGTCTATATGTTTATGAGACTGCAGTGTTTTCCTCATTACTGGGTCACCCAGAGGAGACGAGGTGCCACGTCCTTACAGAACCTTCATATTGATTTCATTCATAAGCTTTAGCCTCACAGGATCTAAAAGCAGCTTTTCCTACCTTGCCAAGATAAACATGTGGAGGGAACACTCATACATGGTATATAACTTATATAGCTGGAAAATACATCTTGTTAATACAGATATTTATACTCTGTATCCACATCCAAATCTAAAAAAGGCCAGCACCTTAAAGAGATTGAGAAGGAATGTGGTTTAAATACATATTTTTATATACACTAGATTACAAAAACAGCCTGGTTTAACAACATTAATACTCTATGTTAAACTACTTTGTCCAAGTGCAGATGACCAGAAATGATAATTTATGTGTACAATTAACTTATCATAACAGGTAAAAGGGCCAGGTGTCCTGAGGGAACAGTAAATGATCCTATAGAGAAAATAACAAATGTCCTAACTGTATAAATGACAATCATTCCTAAAGTGAGCTTGCACGTATGGAAATTGCTGTTATGTGTTTTTCTCATTTGGCTGTTGATGTAATTTCAGTATGATTCTGGGAAAAATTATCATTGTTAATGGAAAAAAACGAAAAATGGAATAGCATTTTGTTGACGAGTTGTTTTTGAGCATGAAAAATATGCCAACCAAGCGTGTTGAAAGTTAGGCAATGGGACAGACAACGAGAAACACATTGCTGAAAACCAGACACGATGAAAAAAGAAAAAGAGAGCAGGGAGGGGATGAACTGGGATGGAATCAGTCCAAATTTCCGAGTTATATTCCCCCACTCTTCCTTATAAATACAGAGACATTTACATTCTTTCCACACAAAAGTGCTTGAGTTGTATGTTTTCGTAAAATATCTTTTAAAGTCAGTGGGCCTACACTCTGTAATCACCGGTATGGAAGGAAAGCGGCATCCTTTTAGGGGAGCCATCCCAGAGGAGAGGGGAGCTGGGGGTTTATTTTCCTTTTTTTGAACAGTTGGGTCTGCTTTGAACAACGGAGCTGCATTGCCTTTGGTGTCTCAGACAAAAATAGAAACCTCATATTGTGAGTGTTTCTTCTTAGTGACCACAATAGCCCTCACACCCATCTCTTCAAAAAACTTTTATAAAGCAACAAAACGCCAAGAAACGAGAACGGTCACAGCCAGCTGGACATGGAAACATGTTTATGAACATGTAAAAAAACGATGTTGAATAAAAAAAGGTTTTATATGTTAAAATGTGCAGCAATAAAAGCTGAAACCAATGAGTCACTATATGACTCCACTTAACAATATAACAATAACAGTTGTAGCATAGAACTTTAGCGTCACTTGAAGGGACATTCTTCCTCATTTGGATTCAGAAGAACTCTTCTCATGTGACATGCTGATTCATACTGTTAACCAAGTCATACTTAGCTCTTGATTTGGTCATTTGTAATCTTTGTTCAGATTTCCTGCCCCTTTCAAACTTATCTTGTGAGAGTCATGCAGATAACATTTTTGTTTTTTTAGCGGTTGCAGAAGGAAAATGTATTGCATGTCTGGATCAATTTAATTCTGGCCCTCAACCTGAACTACAAAACTCTTTTTCACTGTGTATTTTTATTGGTCCACCAAACAAAGCACAATGTCATCAGATCAGTCAAAACGTTTAAAAAAGTTTTCTTGAGACTCAGGCTTGAATAGATGAATATAGAGCCAGCAGGTGGTTAGCCAACGTTAGCATAAAGACTGCAGCAGACAAAGCTAGCTTGGTTCTGTCCTAAGTTTCAAAACTCCCTATTAAACATTTTATATCGTGCATGTTTTATTCATACAGAAAATATAAAAAAAACGTCAAGTTGTGGTTTTACAAGTGGTTAAGTGCTGAAACTTCCGACCTATGTTACTGTGCCCAGTCGCTATACGCCAGGAAAAACAGCAACACATAAAACCTCGGAAACCACAACTCGTGATTCAACAAACTAGATAACGTGTTAATTAGTGACCTTGATATGTACTGGCTGGTATTTTTTGACTTGAGTAGATTCAGTATGGCTCTTTCCCCGTGTTTTTGTTTTCTTGATGCTAACACAAGCTAATGGCCTGGGCCTAGCTTCACATTTAGCGTAGCCAACACACAAGACTGGAAGGCCTACTGGTATTTTCTTCTCGCTCTGGTAAAGAAGGAAAACAAACACATTGTCAAATTATGAACTTAACAATAAATCAGATCAAGTAAGACAACAATTATCCCTAACAGGCCACAAACACAGCTGAAAATGTCAAGTGCAGTCTCAAACTCTGTCTTCAACAATCTGAGCCCATGCCAAAGAGTTTTATTGAACAGTTAGCGTACTTGTTCTTTAACTCCAACACCTTCCTGTCCCAACTCTGCCTTTCAGACGTCGAGACTATATCCAACCAAGAGACTTACTGTGGGATGCTTCATCACCACAGGAGCTGTAACTGAAGTCTTCCAATAACTCTGCCCAACAAACACTGAACTCTTACATTTTAAATAGCCTCTTGGGGGTATGGAAATGCATGATTATCCCACAAAACCCAAACCACTGGGAATTCAGACGTTGGTACAGGGAAGGTGACATCCCTGGCTCTGGTAAGGGGGACCACACTCAGGCCTGTGTAACACAAATACTGGGCTAACAGACTGGGGATGGCCGAGTGTTCGTGCAGTGTGGTCCTCGGAGAACCGCTGCATGTTTCAGAGGTGAAAGCCCTCTTTGTCACTGAGTGAAGCATCGCTGTCTATGAGTCCCACCACCGAGATGGCACCAGGATCGGAAGATTTGTGGAAGAAGCTGGCTCTGCCGCTGTTTGCTGAAAGACATCTGCTGTGTGGGGAATGTCCGTGAGAGTGACTCATTAGCCCCAATAAGTTCAGTGAACGTCAAGCAGCAAATCAACAGACAGGAAGTGGAGCTGTTTTCTTTGAAAATAAGCACTGTGACAAATGTTTTGCCCTAACTGGGAAAGTTAAACAATTCCATAGCTAAGTCCGTTCCTAAGTGCCCTTTTGATTTAAAGCTTAACAGACACTTGTTTAAGATGGATGATCACTTGGAGGGTTCTGGGAAGTCTCACCAGGCTACAGTTTCCACTCTCCCATATTAGTCTAAAATATACAGCAGAGGGATGTTTAATTTAGCTGTGAAAGGCACAAGCAAGCATTGAGATAGTCATTTTTGATTTATTTTAATGCCTTTTAATGCCTTTTTTTAACAGAAGGAAGGTAATACACACCAATCACATCCTACAGATAACAAACAACAGAGCACTTCAGCCACGAGATGTGAGCTCCAGTTTCAGCTGCCAGGTAACAGATATGTTGAATACATCTATTAGTGACCAGAAAATTCAGATGGTTTTCATTGTTCATGCGGTTGGCAAGGAAAGCTTATTTATTCTAGACTCAAACCTTGAAGCCCTTTATCATTCTAATGGATTTCTAACAGACATATGACCTCAGAACACTGCGGAGTCAGCATTAGTCAGTGGATTGGAGGACACACTAATAGTCTGCATGACTGTTAGCTGTATGATTCATAAGATTTCACTTGTTGTGATAAATGGTTTGAGTCATCGAGGTCTGTTTAAGGCTTCAGGACCACCTGGAGCAACAGTGCCAAAGGAGCGACCGCTTTGACGGCTCAACTGTTTTTACACGTTAAAACAGTGAAAAACAAAAAAGGCCTCTAGCCTCAGCGGGTTCAACAGGGGGCATGAGCCAAAAAGCCACAGAGCACAACAGAAGGAACCACAGAGACATCCAGCCCAGTGAACAATAATAAAAAACACTTACAGCAGTAACATAGTTTGTTGGTATAATTGGATGGGATACTTCCTTCTAATTGAATGAAAGTGTTTTCCAATTTCATTAAAACTATTACGACAGTGTGATTTGTTGGAAGGAGGTCATGGAAATTATTAAAGTACTATGGACAAACACAATAAAGGTAATTTCATACAATGTTGTTAATAGTTCATCCCCAGAGCATTCTTGGAATTTGTGTTGCACGTCTACCCTGCTGTACTTCTCATCCTCTCTAATGAGCCCATGTTATATTCTCAGTTTATATCATCTTTTTTCAATAAAGCTTTCTCAATCCAAAAGAAAATTGGGGCTGCCGTAAAAACTCGTCCTGAACTGCTCGCAATAGCCAAGTCACTTCTTCCTGGCAATGGAGATTCTTATTGCACTACATATTGGTTCCAATGCACCTTGACCTTGCTAAAGTTAAGTTTGATGACACTTTGATAAAATATGTCCAGTTTCTATGGTCGATTTCCTCCTTTTACTCAGTTCTACTGTCACAAGATGTCAGTGGACTGGACCTTGCAGGATTTAAACCGTACTATGATACCATCTAGTGGTGGAGTAGTATTACTACCTATCCATACCACTGTAAAGGAGAACAGGAGATAAGCCGTACTTTTTCATTGATTAAAAACACTTGCTGACATTCTGTTCAAGTTTATGATTAAATAAGTTATATGTTATGTATAATGTAATGATAACATTAATTATGTAGGATTTCTGGTTTGACAGAAACATGCCTTTGGTCCAAGGGACATGTCTTCCTAGAAGTTTGTCTTATGAATTCGGATTAATTCACATCTCATTTCAATTGGCAAAAATCAATAGTTTTTGTTTTTTTGCAGTTCCTATAGTTTTCTCTGGAAATGGGGGCCATTTCTCTGATTTTGTGAAAGGGTTTAGCTGAGGTTTCTTTACCTGAGTCAATATCACCATACAGTGCATTTGAGACTTCCCCATTTCCAAAATTCCAATTTTCCATTGAACTTCATATTCATTGTATTAAGTATACGTTATGCTGTTAGAAATGGATGTTGGTCAAGCTACCACACTTTTTATAAATTAACTGCAAGTACATGCAAACAGCAAAATGTATCCACCCTGTCATGGACAACATTCAAAACATTGTAATTACATAGTGATTATAAAATGTACATTTTCAGAAAGCTATAGTCCCTTTCTCAACAATATATTTCAGTTCATGAAAAAAGTATTTGGATAATAATGAAATTATGGCAAACTATTTGTACCATGTCCACCCTGTCATGGAAGGCTTGCTGACAGGGTGGACATGGTACAAATAGTTTGCAATAATGTCCCACACATGTCCCACCCGTCCCACCCGATGTTGACGTGTCAGAGTCTGCAGAGCAGTGTGTGGGACATGCCAAAATCACGTACATCTAATGAAAAAATAAGGTATAAAATGAAAGAAACACATTTCAAGAGACTTATCATTGTACTGATATGTGTGTAAATGTTTCGCCATTTATAATAAGACCTCAGAGTTGCATTATTCTGCTACATTTTCATAGTAACTGAGTGATTCTGATGGGGACACCAAAGTTACTTCATAGTGATATTGACCCACCTGTGGGAACATTTATAATTGAGCTGCTGAGGTTACCACAAAGCTTTTATGCCATTAGAGTAACTTGCAAAACATATACTTTTAATACAATATCGGTGATTGTCTTAAATACAAATAGAGAAGTTTCCTAAAATTATACAAATGTTTTACCTTGCAAAGTTTTTTCTCATGTAATGGTGCTCTAAATATTGTAGCCTACTTCTTGCCGAGCTCAACCTCAAACCTTGTCCCATCTTCTTTGGAATTGTCAGTAAACACATATGGAAATATTGTTCGAAATGTATTATTTAGCATTCTTTACCAATTACAGAATATCAGAGGGAAATTAATATCGTGAATCTATTGATTATTCTAGCCACTATTATCCGCAATTCGGTAAATAAATGAACTTGTTTACGTCCTGTTCTTCAAAAAATGACCTGCTTCAATAAAGTTTGGAGATTAAAAAAAGTGAAGCCGCTGTCGCCGCCTGATGACATCAATCCAGGCCTGTTTATGGACGCCATGGCAGCTCATGCTAGCGAGCTCGAGATTGCAAAGAAGAATTTAACTGATGCAATTGGTGATAATGTCAAGCAGTGAGTAAACCGTTATATCTGCTTGTTTAACTGTATTTGGTGTTTGTTTTTGTATATTTTCGTTCTTGCTTTGCTACTGAAATCTGAAGTAATTTGCCATTAACGCTAGCTAATAGCTATGTGGAAACTAGCAGGTTGCTAGTGTTTGCAGCCTGTCTGCTAAGCAACAGTTATCATTAAGCCACTAGTGTTATTATACATTATTTAATGTGTGCTCTCAGGAGGAAGAAATGCAAATAACTAAAGTTGTAGGTTTGTATGAATACTGCTTGTGTATCATGAATTAGCATCAATTCAACTTTGTAGATTTCTCCTAAATACACCACAAGTGGGCATTAGATAGTGCCTCGTTTGTATTTAAACAAAACATTTAATAAAATATTGTAGCACAAAACATTCCTCAATGTGATGAACTGGGGAAGTGTCATGGTATAATTAATTAGATGCATATTTTAACGTTTTTCACCTGAAGTGTCTTGGAAAATGTAAGATTTTTTTGTAATGCCATTATTTTTCTTTTAATGCCAGTTGACGGTATTTTTCTGAGATATATCCAAATTCCTCCTGTGAAATACATTTGACTCTTATATATCAAACAAAATTAATCTGGATTTGTCAAATGTTTAGATTTTCTTTTCTGAAAATGTACGCAAATGATCACATAAGTTGATTCAAACAGCATTTCAGAAAACGTGTAATAATACAAAATAGAAAACAATTGTCTTTATAATTAAATTAGGGTATTTAATAGTGATTTTGTATTTTGTATTTACTCTGTTCTGACATAAACATTTTTTATGAAATTTAAAGGAATACTGTAAATTAACCTTAGCTCTTAGAGTAAGATGTTTTTATTGACGTTGCCTCTCCTCGCAGTTACTGGGCGAACCTGAAGCTTTGGTTCAAACAAAAGATCAGCAAAGAGGAGTTTGACATTGAGGCACGTCGTCTGCTGGCTCAGGAGAATGGTTAGTAAGCGCAAAAAATATTTATGGCCTATATTTTGATTATAAAAAAGTTTAAGCTATCTGAATTGCTTACATTGTATTTTCCTTCCTCTGCAGTCCATATTCACAACGATTTTCTCCTGGCCATCCTCACACGCTGCCAGATCATTGTCTCCACACCTGGTACGTTTTTCTTTTTTTTAAATATATTTGTATTCAGATTTTGTATTGTATTACAAATCAGTACAAACACTTACTCAGCCCTTACCCCCAAACCCACATACACATCTGCAACAGAGAGAGTGATGTAAGCGGTAATTAACACAATTAATAAAAAATAAAAAATGGGATAAAAGAGAAATCTAAAAAATAGATATGAAAATAGAATTGTAATCATTGGTGCACAGTAACAGTAGTAGCAATTGTAATTTATATATTTATACAATTTAAAAAAATGTGTAAGTCCATGAAGCACAGAGATAGGTTTCTCAAGTATTTTACAGTATCAATTCGAGTGCTACATGGACACACGACTAAATGAGTAATTAATGAGATGGTCTAAGGCAGGGGTTCTCAAAGTTTTGATGAGTGAGGGCCAATTTAGGTACCCAATATTGGATTGAGGGCCGCCCAAGAAAAAACGGAACACAAAATTCCAAAACAAATATTTTCTTTATTGCACACACCCATTTTGTGACATTCTGTTTATCCCTTAAAATGTTAGATTGGGATCTGTTTCATCTACACCTTTTTTGTTTAACCTAATTGATTTATTACCCATCCTAAAATTGGTACAATAAATTGGTGATCAGCGAGTAGGAGTTGCAGAAGAGAATTATTTTTGGATTAGTTTTTTTTCTTGATTCCTCTCCGCTTTCTCCAAACCATGCCGGGGGGAGAGCGAGAGGAAACGGAGGAACCATGGCCAACGAGGGCAGCAGCCGGGGCCGGAGGAACGTCTGATTCAGAAAAGAGGAAGTAGCTGAAGACGGGGCAGGGTCCGCAGAAATGGGTGAAGCCTATGGAGGCCCACCATCACTGGCCTGGCCAAGTATTCCACGAACATGGCTTGCTGACCAGCACAAGCACGAGACGCCCGAATAGCTGTGGAAGACTGCACAGCAAGCAGCAGCAGTTTAGAAGGCGGTTGTGCCAGCAATGAATCTTGCTTCAATCAGAAGGTGCAGGCCCAACATCAGTAACTTGGAGCAACTTTCTCGGTAAAGCAAGTATATTCGCGGGCTAATGTGATTGGCTTAGAGGGATGTAACTCATCCTCACAGAATTAATTTGGAGTTCCCTCAACGTGACAGCGTTTTCAGCAAGTACCATTTAAAACCAAGAGCCAAGGCTTCAATATTAGACCGATCTGATGATATTGAACATTTTCTTCGTTACTTTTGAGAGAATTGCAGCAGCATGCAGAATGGCCCAACTGAAGCATTGGGGCTTCAGACTATCCATTTATAACGGGTAAAGCCAGAAGTTTATTATGTTGTTACATCTCAGATGTTATGTTTCAGTTGTGCTCTGTCTAGACCAGGGGTTCTCAAAGTTTTGATGAGTGAGGGCCAATTTAGGTACCCAATATTGGATTGAGGGCCGCCCAAGAAAAAACGGAACACAAAATTCCAAAACAAATATTTTCTTTATTGCACACACACACACACACACACACACACACACACACACACACACACACACACACACACACACACACACACACACACACACACACACACAGAGAGTATTGCGCTGGAGTTAGTGATATGCTGTGGATTTCCTGTCTTATCAGCAGGGCCCTGTTTCAGAACCAATTCCAGCTACTCAAGCACCACAGGATAGTCTCTGCAAGACAAATACAGAGAGACAGAGAGGGGGGAGGGAGAGAAAGAGACTTTTAAAATAGAAGCTTACCAAAGACCACAATAACAATACCACAACAGTAATAATAACCTCTAGTGAACTACCTATTTCATCACAAGACGATTACATATGCCGTCTCTTTCTCACACACACAACAAAGCGCACACACCAATTCATAATACTGCGTGTAAGTTTTCAGGCCTAATATATATATTATTTGTTGTTCGACAGAGAGGGTTTGCAAGGTGTAGTCCGTGTGACAATAAACGGTGACTTATAAACGGGTCGCGCTTCGTAGGTTTCGAGTGATTTGGAGGGACTAACCTACGTCTGCAGGGTTTCGCGCCCAGTTTCAAAACAGTGCACTTGTCGCCTTGTTTTAAACAACCTTTCAAAAGCAACAACATCGCTCTACCTCCTCGGTCCCGGCAGCGCATTTTTTTCGCAAAACAGTGACTCCTCTTAATTTCAAACTACAAAAAAAAAAAAGAGTACATAAAATATAACAACTCTAAATTAATAAAACCTCCCGTTGCAGAACATCAGAAAAAAAAAAAAAAAAAAGCAAAAAAAATATAGAGAAAAGTCAAATAACACAACCAAGACCAATTATATTCACTATACCGGAGTAGACGTTCCAAGTCAAAAAAAAAACACTATACAGTACACGAAGTTCTCAATAATTGTAAACTATAAATAGATACAGAGTAATAAATAATAAAAAAAGGAAAAAAAACTAGTATTAAAACAATAAAACATGTTAAACAAGTAAATCCCGAAATAATAACAACTCCGCGACTCTGACATTTGCAAACTTGTCTGAAAAAAAAAAAAACAAACAATAAAAAAAAAAAAAAAAAAAAAAAAACAAAATAAATCAGAGAACGTCATTGAATAATAAATTTTGGTTCTCAACACAAAAAAAAAAATAAATAATGACCGAAAGTCATAAAGATAAAAAAAATAAAGTCAAAAGTGTTTAGAATCGTTTACAATTAAGAAGCCACTTCGACATTGTGTCCGGATAAGATAAACCATCAGTGACTATTAAACGGTCCGCCTCGGTTCGGAAAAGTCACTACCTCTTAAGTCACGCTTCTACGTAAAACTTTCACACGACTGTCAAAAAACAAAAAAAAACAATACAAAAAAAAAAAAAACAATACGGGACTGTTTTCAGTTTCAAGGCACTGTATTAAATATGGAGCTTACTGTGTCACTGTGACTGCTTAGCTTCTTAGAACCGGTTACTACGAGTTTCTCCGTTAAACCCTGATGCAACACCTTCCGGATTCCGTTCCCCAGGCGAAAAGATTATCGTCGACCCTACTCTCATATGTCTGTAAAGACTATCGACGTTGTGAGACTAAAAGTAACTCCTGTCCAGTGGCCTCCTGAAACTTTATCCGCTCCTTGACGATTCCCCGTAGCCCTCTCATAGTTATCGTCTTGTTCCCCCCTAGGCTGATAAACACTTACAGACTACAACAGCATTTCAGAGCTAACGTATGTCGTACACACCTCCGACTGTAAGTGACACAAAGGTCCAACACGTGTTAGTCTACCGTAACGGATCGAAAGTCGGTAATCCAGCCGCGAAAACTCTACCCCGCACACGGCGACAGAAAAATAAACGAGTGCGTTTACAAACCTGGTTATGCCTCCCCACTCTTGGATTAGTTCATAATAGTGACGTATTAAATGGTTCAATTCCGGAACGAACGAGTAAATGCCGTAAACAATTTAAACTTTGTACAGTAAACCTGTAACAACAGTTTCTGTCACTTTTAAAGTATTCAAAGCGTCTACCGAGACAATATAAGTGGTAGGTTAAGTTAATTGGAAAAAACCAACGTTAGTTCCCCGACTTAAACCACTGGCAGTAATAATGAAGGAAGTAACCGACAGTCATCACACACATGACTCGTCAAACTCCACGGTCTTTTTTTTTTTAATGTGATTCGCAAAAAAATCTAAACTTCCTTTCTTTAAAGCCGACTCTAAAGCTAAACGTTTACGCTTTTCACTGGTAATCTAACGATAAGTCAATCTCACTTCGTGACTACCCGAAGACACTCGCAACCCGCAAGGAACAACTAGGACTTTGTGCGAAAGAGTCAGCAGAAGTTAACACTATCGACGTGTTCCCACGTAAACCTAAATAAACAGAAGTAAAAAAAAAAACAAAGCGTGGGTAACTAAAACTTTTTTTTCGGCAGTTCGAAAGGTCCGCTATTTTAGAAGTTGGACAAATCCCCCGATCAAACCCAGTTAACGAGATAACTCTACCACCACTCCAATTAAGATGCGGTAAAAAAGGACAAAAAAACAATTAGGGCCGGAACGTTCCACCCAGAGCGATAAAAAAAAAACATCCACACACAAGCAAAATGGGTAGTTGGGACACACAGTCTTGTCTTGAGTGTTGGGAGTACCTTTTTGAGAGTTCAAAAAAAAAATCCTTAAGGTGTAGGAACGAAGAGACCTGAAGCACGACGTGCTTCTTCAGTAAGTAAAGTGGAATAAGTTCTCGGGAAGTGTAACAAACGATTGCGCTTCTTTCACAATCGACGTTCTTTACGTCAAGCTCAGGTTAGCTGAGACGTCCCTCCTGAGACTCCCGGGATCTCGTCGTATAGCTACTGTACTATGAGTAGCAAGATCGGTTCCTGAAGGAGTAGGCTGCATGGAAAACGAATAAAAATAGCGGGTTGTAATCGGTAGGTTCTTACCCGGGAAGGAGACAAGGCCGTTCGGTCGATGTAAACACCTCTTTTTGAAGAGCTGGTAAGCACCGGTAAGTTGTTTAGGGGTCGACTCTAGGTCCGACTTGCCTACTCGGGTAGATGTACGACAGGTAAGCATATATCGTTGTGTTGCCTCTACCCTGGCCTGTAGTTTCCTTATCATCGGTTGTCTGCTGTCGTGGTATTTAGGGTAAGTTTCATCCTTTTCCATCAACTACTGTCCGTTATTTATCGGGCTAAACACAATGTTTATTGTTGTTGTTGTTATATTGTTACTACTACCT